CCCCCCCCTATTTTTTTTTGGGGGAGGGGGGGGTCCTTAGCCGTAAGGCATGCTCCCAAGGTCTTTTTAATACAACATTGTGGTATTTCTAATCATGTTAATCATTCTACATTTTTAACCTTTCATTTATTTATGAAATTTTTTAAAGAGAGTGGCGGTATTCCGCTCTTCTAACGCTAATGGTGCATATTTATTTTGACAAAATGATTTATCTTTTAACAATTTTACATATCTTGGAAGTAATACAGCTATTCTTCTGGTTGTCAAAGCAGTTCAGATAACTGAGTTTGCTGTGTACTGCAGGTGCAAATAATCTGATTCCAATGGAAATTGCACTTAAAATAGCCGAAAAAATCAGAGCTCGTGAGAGGTTTGCGGCATACATTGTCCTCCCAATGTGGCCAGAGGGTAATCCAACTGGGGCTGCTACACAGAGAATTCTTTATTGGCAGGTAGAGCACATGAGAGGTTTGCGGCATACTAAGCATGCTAACATATCTTTCTAAGCTGATTGAAATGTTTTGTGAAGGACAAACCATGGAAATTTGCTTTCCAGCTGAACTATCAAATAATCAACTGCCTTCTATTTGCTATAAGTTATTAAGTTGTGCAAGTGAAACCTTAGGTCTCCACTTTGGTTTGCAGAACAAGACAATGCAAATGATGTATGAGACTATTTACAAGGCTTTAGAGGAGGTTGGTCTTGAGGATGCATACTCTCCACAAGATTATTTGAATTTCTACTGTCTTGGTAACCGTGAGGCTGGTAATGTTGGGGGAACTGAGAGTCCTGGCACTGCAAACACTCCTCAGGTACTTGCATTGACCTCCATTCTCCTTCTCCAAGAGAATATTTGCAAATTTCGATTTGTGTCACTTACCTATCCCGAAAGTTTCTCTTTATTTTCATTTTATTAAATTTATTTTCTTCTACTATTTGCTCCGCCGCAAGCCTTTTTTTAATGGAGAGGCTCTGTTTGAAACATAAACAAATAGGCTTTGTTACTCGGACTCTTCAAAAATGCTGCCCGTTGATTGTTGGATCCTCCAAAAGTAGTGCATTTTTGGAGGATCCAGCACCGGTGCGACAACAAATGTGGAGAGTCCAAGCAGCATAGTTTTGCCTTTTAAGTTTCCTCCTATGTTTGTTGTAGAACTGTCTGCCTATATTTTCCCTGCACTGCACATTATTGATCACTTACAGAGAATGGTTTGAATATGTTGTTGCAGGCGTTCAGTCGGAAAAACCGTAGATTCATGATTTACGTTCATTCTAAGGGGATGGTTGTGGATGATGAGTATGTGATATTGGGATCTGCAAACATCAATCAGCGCTCTCTGGAGGGCACTAGGGACACAGAGATAGCAATGGGAGCATATCAACCTCATCATACATGGGCAAGAAAACAGTCAAGGCCCTATGGACAGGTGATTAGCAAATTTGATAGATGTGCTGAATAATTTGGTTACATTATCATCCGGAAGAAATCTTGATTTAAAAATCATAAGGTACTTATTTGGCGTCCATGCTAGCAGATATTGTAGATAGAAATGAACCAAAGTATGCACTCTCAAAGAAACAAGAGGATGTGCAACACCGCTTGCTTTTGTGCCTTGTTGTCAATCAGCCAACTAACTAGTATCAACCAATCAATTAACTATACTTTTGAATCTAAAATAATTGGGGTCAGTAATATGAATCCTCTATATCAGCTATGCTCTATTTGGGCCTTTTCTATATAATTACCCAACAATTTGTCTTTTCGTACAAATTAAATATTCTAAAATAATGGTTTCTTATATCTCACAAATATTCCTAAATTGACACACAAATCTCACACTGAAAACATTTTTGGCAAACATGAGATATAATGTAAGTGTAATGACATGAAATAAGCCTTAATCCCAACTAATTGGTATTACCCTATTGATCATTTGCTTCCATTGTATTTTTTTCTTAACTAACCGCATGATTCCAAGAGATTGTACGTCTTTTTGAAACAAGTTCCTCCATGTGGTTCTAGGACCTCTTCCCAATCATTGTAATGGTGGCTGTTATTTTTCTCTTCTTTGGAAGACAAAGGGCAATAATGAAACTTAGCAGCAGCACCAAAAATAAACATCATTATGGTACCCAAGAACTTGGTGCATTTGGAGATCTACTCAAGGCATAACCAAACCATCTAAGTATCCTGGACAACCTACCAACCATTAAGAATGTATAAATTGGGAGGGGATGGGAGTGTTGTTGAATTCTTCTATATTTTTCTTTCAACACTTGCTCTTGAGCTGGTAGGATTAATAGGGCACTTGCCTTGTTGGCAGCTAAGATATTACATATATAGTTGGGTTTTCCTTCACTCAGAAAGTCTTTACCTTTTATTAGAGTAAGATATGCTCTTGAAACTAGATTCATTCATTCTCAAGCGACCTCTCATGATATTCTCTCTGTTTGTTACTTGCATCCTCTGTCGGATGTGATCATTTAATTTTGTCTAGTCTTATATTAGCGCTCTTCCATCTTAACATCCTCATTTCTACGACACTCATCTTGAGGATGTGTTGAGTCTTAAAGATCCAACATTGATTCCATATAACATTGCCGGTCTGTAACTGTTTGTAAATTTTGTCTTTCACTTTTGTAGGTGTCTTTCTATCGCATATCGCTCCTATAGCATTTCCCCCTTTCACCTGTTCTATTTCATTTTGTGCTACATGTTAATCTAATATGACATTCTCGTGAAGATATTGAGCTTAAATATCTGAATCTGTATTCATGAACCACAATCTCATCTAATCTCACTTTGACTCTGTTGTTTTATGCCTTTGTAGAACAAGACTATTTTTAGGACAACCAACTGTTGAAGCTCCTTTCTAATTTGGGAACATGATCAATGAACAATATTTTGATCATGAGTTTTTTTAACTCCATTCACCAATTGTATAATTTTTGTATAAAATATTTCTTTTCTATGCTCGCTCAGTCTCCTTACATAGTGCAAAACTTATGCTGCTAATTAAATAGTCCAGTTTTCTGTACAATGCCTATGTTTGCTGCCATGCCAATATCAAACTGAAACCAAAACATATATCTTCTAGTGAATCTTTACTAGGCCAAGCTTTAGGACATTTCTTTTGCTTTGCTTTTAACATGTGGAACAAAGCTTAAGCTGCTTCATCTCTCCTACATTTTATTATTCCGCATTTGACCTTGAGTTATTTTTTGTTTTAATATTTGTAATTACACACTGCTAGGAGTATTTGCAAAATAACGTCTCTGTGATTCCCTATTTTGATCAAAACATCTCAAGGCGGATTATAAGCATATAAGTAGTGGTTGCACATCTATGACCTAGGTTATATAGATGTATGTAGGGAACTTAAAGAATATATATGTGTATGTATATAACAAACAACAACAAACCCAGTAAAATCCCACAAGGGGTCTGGGGAGGGTAGTGTGTACGCAAACCTTACCCCGGGTAGAGAGGCTGTTTCCAGTAGACCCTCGGCTCAGGAACAGAAAAATGTGTATGTATATACTTACATATATTTTAAGAGAGTGTGTGTGTGTGTGTGTGTATCTTCATCTAATCCATTTGTGTTGTCTATCTTCTGCAGATATTTGGATATAGAATGTCTCTGTGGGCTGAGCATCTTGGAGTTGTTGAGGACTGCTTCACACAGCCGGAGTCGTTAGAATGTGTAAGACGGGTCAGGTCCATGGGTGAATTTAACTGGAAGCAATTTGCAGCTGATGAAGTAACAGAAATGAGAGGGCACCTCTTAAAATACCCAGTTGAAGTTGATCGCAAAGGCAAGGTGAAGAATCTTCCTGGATGTCCGAATTTCCCAGATGTTGGTGGAAACATAATAGGATCCTTTGTCGCAATTCAAGAAAACCTAACCATTTGATTTCCCCCCACATATGATTGGTAGAGACTTTGAACCCGGAGGAAATTATACAGCGTTGATTAGTATCTAAAGCAGTTTTCCATTGATTCATACGGTTAACACTAGGCCAGAGGAAGAGGATGATAATGTTAATGTTGAGTATAGTAGAAAATTGTACAGTTGCTATTTACTGTTTATTTTAATATTTCTTTTCTCTTTTTTGATGTCTGTACAAGCGAGCAACAATTTGTGAATTTTGATTCAAATTGTGGTTTCTTGGTGGCAAGCTAGGTTGTTTACTGGAAATTACATTAAAGAACTGTATGGATGGAACTGTTTCTGCTTCTTTAACTATGTGCTTGAACTCCATATTACTGGAATTCTTGGTTACTCTTTTAATCTATTTCTCCTACTCTTTTACTAGTTGTGATTATAAGTGTAACTGCCATTCCGTGAGGAAAACAGATTTTCTCTACTATTCTTTCTTTGTTTCATTTTATATGATGATGTCTTACTAGGCATGGTGTTAAAACAAAGGCTAAAAAAGTTTTCGGCACAAACTGAAATATATGACATATCCAAAGTATCTCTGGAGACAAAACTGGATCTTTAAATTAAAGAATTTCTAAATATAACGATTGGAGTGGACCAAAAAAAGATTCTCATAAAAAATGAAGGAGTATTCGCTGACGGTTAAAAATAATTGCAACATTGGATTTCAGCATGTAAAGAATTTTAAGCAGTACTTATAGTTGTTTATAAGAAGTTATTTGTACCAATTTAGTTTGTAGGTTATCAAAATTAAGCTCGCTAACAATAGTTACACGTTATTATTTATAGCCTATTTTATGGGTACGTGAACCCATGATCTTTTCGCCAAATTAGGTATTTTATTAAAGGCGGAGCAAAGATTTTAAACTTATGGGTTCAGATTCTAATCGTTTTAAATTATTGGGTTCTAAATTGATAATTTATATTCACCGAATTTTTTAAGACATATACATGGTTCGACCCAAAGTTACTGGGTTCGGCCGAACTCGCATTCGGCACTCTACCCCGCCCCTTTATTTATGTACATAATAGCTAGAATTGATCTAATATTATCCGGTGGCACTTATGCTCCGAAGAGACCAAATAGTGTAATTGGTTGAATGCTCTGTTATTATTATAGGCTGATGCCGTTAATGAGATGATGCAAGAAAACTTTACAAATGTTAGCCACAGAAGTTAAACTTCTTCCTAATTAATCATTCACGGCCCTTCATAATATAGAAATTAAAGTTACTACAATATTCTTTTTTCTTTCCAAAGTTACCACGCACCCACGTACGGTTCAATGACCCAACGAAAAGGAGGAGGAAATGGAGGCATTGTTAGTAGAAAGAGGAATAACTGCACTTGGAATATTCAATAAAGCAGCTGGTCTAACAGTACTAACGCAATTAATAGGTTGCACCGCCAACACCGGAGCTGCACTTGGTGTTTGTGGAATTATCCAAACAGTTGACGCCGCCGCCACAGCGAACATTGACACGTGTGGCATTATTGTCTGACTTGGTATTATCGACATAATCGGAGCAAAAATAGTTGTCACTTTGTTAGACTTCACGTCAATAGTACTAGTACTGCATGTAGTCATAGTTGTATGGCAACTTCTTTGTTTAACGTCGATAAATTCACTGTTAGTACAACGTTTGCGTTTCCGCGTTAAAGGGTCATTTTTAGTGGTGGGGATTTTGAGTGTGCCGTTAACTGAGACGGCGATGGCAGGGGTAGTACCAGTACCAGTAGCGGAGATGATAGAAGGTTCAGCATGTTGTAATAGCCATTGAATAGTTTCGCCGTCAGTTTTGTGACCGAGTTCACGGGTAAGTTGAAAGACTCTGGCGGCGCATGTTGCCGGCATTCTTATCCTCCGCCCTCTTCCTTCTACCTTGGTGTGTTGGTCCTTTGTATATGTAGCAGCCTTGTTATGCGGTGGCGGTGGTGGTGGCAGATGTGGCGGTGATACCGAATGTTTCAGTGTTGGGGTGGGTAGTGTCACTTTGATAATGGGTGGTGCCGGCGGTTTCTGATCAGCCATGTCATGAGGCTCTTGCTTGGGAGATATTAATGGTGTTGCGATTGGCGGAGCCACCTGCCGACGCCGTGCCAATGGTGGCGCTACCATGTAGGACTTGTTAATTTTGTTGATGTTTATATAGATTCTATGGGGATGGAGTCATGTGTTTGTGCTGCTTCCATTGCTTATATATAGAACGCCACTCATTACTCATAGCTGCGCTCCAAAAGAGGGGCTTTAGTGTGACCATGCTTTAATTTTAATTTGGGTAGAACCAATAAATGTCAACACGTTGATTGAGGGGGTTAGTTCTACGTACCTTCTATACGTATTATTTATATCAAATCATGTAATTTAATCTTAAGATCAAATCGCAAATGAAAGAGAAAATACATATTATCTAATCATAATTAAACATACTCCTAAAATTATACACGCGAGCACGCGGATTCAATTCAATAGCTACAGGTTCCGTGAATCCAGTAGCTTTTGTGATCTATAACCTGTATTTGTATTGAAAAATCCATTAAATATATAAGAATATTTAGCTTGGAATTCAGTCCGTTCATCTAGTTAGTATCGTATATTAACTCAGATTTTTGTAGGAACCCATAAACTTAAAATCCTATATCCGTCTCTGCACGATAAATATTTTACGGGTAATTTTATTTTCTACCTATCCTAACTGTGAATGGGATTAGGGAACTGTTTTAGAATACATACCCCTGAATTAGGGAGCTATCTCTAGTTGATGTGCTCATATGGAAATTTACGCAGGCAGAAAAGAAAAAAGTAGAGTAGGGCAGTGGCACAAGTTGGGCTACTGTAGTAATGAGTTAGTAGGTGGTGGACCTTAGTGCTTTCATGTGATGGAAACAGGTCCAATTGATCTAAAGTTTGATTAAGAATGGCAAGCATTCGAGTTAAATTTGTGAATCAATTAGCTTGTAACTTAGATCATGCATAGCTCGTTGCATGGTTTCTATCGTTTTGGATTTGTAACCAAACCAAGTTGGTTTTAATAAGCCTGTGTTGGTCTTGGAAACCAATGTGATAATACAAAACAACCCCAACCAACGTACGGTTACCATTTTTTTATAGATACTTATGCACATATAATATTTAGTCTAAACACTTTCTTTTAAAGCAAATTTTGAATCGATTTTTTTTACAAAAATCAAATCTTAAATTAAACCAAATCCAAATGCCACCTAAATCTATATATAGGACTATGCCTCACCTACAGCTACAAGACCAAACTCCTTCCTAGGAGACTAGAGGAGGAGGGGGGACGTACCCCTCTAGGCCCTCTACAAATTCCTCTTCTAAATGGTCCCAAAGAGTGTTTGTACCCCCACTACAAACCCTAGCTAAGCCACGTTTTTTAGAAATATTTATATTATCATTGTATTATAATCGGTTCGAAGAAGTTATTTAATTATTTTTGAAGTTATCAAATTAAACTTACATAGACGAATCCCTTTAGTTGTAGGTGACTTTAACCCAATGATACAAAATACATTAGCAAGTAAAAGGGCAGAGGAGTTTTAACTTTTATTGAGATACTTGAAAATACTCAAATGTAATAATCATAGGTGCGCACATGTTTACCATCAACAGATTTTCCAATTACTTTTTAGATTAAGCTTTCATATTTTAGTTCTCGTCTTCACACTCAAAATGACTACTTGTCTTCAGATCCTAATTCGAGTCGTTTCCACATATTATTGTCCTTATCTATCATTGTCAAACGCATGTTAGCTATTAATTATAAGAAAAGGATAACCAAATTTGTTCTAATCTGCCGCAATTTTAACCACTGAGAATATTAACCATGAATCATGATTTATAAAATAAACAGCCAGCAATAGTGTTTGATTACTGCTCCATCTGATGCAGCATCAAACCTCCATACACTTTTGGACAGCAACAAAATTATACACCTATTCTTAGTTCTAATTTCAAAATGCTACATCTTTTCTTGATTATAATTTCAAAATGCTACAACTGAAAAAAAGAGAAAAAGTTTATCTCCATTGCCAAATAGGAGTAAAAAAGAATGCATAAAACATTCAGTGGCTTCCCTTCAAGAACCAGACATGTAGGTATATCTAGTCTGGGCTCCAATAAGTAGTTCAATAAGTTTTTCTGCACATCCAAGAAAAATTTTGTCAGGAAGGATAATGTCAAAATTTACATCAACAATGTCAAATGAAGCAACTCTTGAAACTAGGTACAAAAGTGCGTTAAAAATACCTGCGAAAAATCCAACTACAGGAACAGGTTCTACAATTTTTTGAGTGCTTTCAAGTCTTCGCCTGAAATGATTTTAAGGCATTAGCATTGCTTTAATCTCTGTTAGTTCTCTTTCCTGCGCTTCTTATATGAAGCACTAACAAGAAATGACAGAAAAAGAGTATCTTTACCTGGTGTATTCCGAGAAAAAAGGATCTCGCATGAGGTAAAGCACCCAAAGCAGCTTCCTCCTTTTTAACTGCAGTTTTTGGAGTAAAATATATACCATTTAAAGATGAAGCAAAATTTTATGGCTGCAATAAATAAACTTAAAAGCTAATGAACAAATCAGATGAATATTTAAAGGGGAGAAAGGGTGAGACATAAAGCAAGAAATGGAATGAGAATCCGTAGTCTCGAGTGAGAAAGACCAATAACACGCTATTCCATCCACCATTGAATGAAACACGTCTGAAGCAACAATGCAAAATGTTTAGTATGAGATTTGGTAACCGGAACAGCAGATAGGCAACAACAGCAACAACAAGCAGTAAAATCCCACTAATTGAGTTTGGGGAGAGTAATGTGTACGCAGACCTTAACCCTATCCCGAATAAGTAGAGAGGCTGTTTCCGAAAGACCCTCGACTCAAAAAAAACAAACAAACAAAAGGACAAAAAGGAGACAATATTAGTATCACAACAGCAATCATAGGAAAAATAGGAACACCATGAAATCCACAAGAAAGATACAAAGCAAAGGGAGACAATATTAGTAAATATTAGTATCACCACAACAATCATAAGAAAAATAGGAACACCATGAAATCTAAAAGAAAGATGCAAAGCAAAAGCGATAGCTAGTAAATAGGACATGCACTGAAAAGCGAAATAGTAAGACACAACATTGCCACTAGCTATCTTAGACAAAAACCCTACATGGCTAGTCCCACAATGGTACGAAGTAAGGCACGACTCGACTACCTCCTAACCTACAACCGTAATACTCGACCTCCACATCTTCCTATCAAGTGTCATATCCTCGGAAATCTGGAGCCTCGCCATATCCTGCCTGATCATATCTCCCCAATATTTCTTAGGCCGCCCTCTACCTCTTCTCGTGCCCTCCACAACTAGCCGCTCACACCTCCGTACCGGAGCATTTGGCTTATCCTCTGAACACTTCCCGCATATTGTCATCAATGGGAGCCATATGCACCTTCTCCCGAATATCATCACTCCTAATCTTATCTATCCTAGTGTGCCCACACATCCACCGCAACATCCTCATTTCTGCTACTT